CGCTGCAGAAAAAGCTGAGAGCCTGATCCCATCCCAGTGGGGCTTGGAATGTTTGTGAGTGCCCAGGGAGGATGGGCACAGCAGAGAGGGCAGCCAGCAGTGGGAACGGCCTGGGACAGAGCTGGGAGAGTGACAGGGCTGGGACAGGGCTGGGACTGTGCTGGGAATGGGGTGGAACAGTGCTGGGACAGGGCTGGGACAGTGACAGTGCTGGGACAGTGACAGTGCTGGGACAGTGCCAGTGCTGGGACAGTGACAGGGCTGGGACAGTGACAGGGCTGGGACAGTGACAGTGCTGGGACAGTGCCAGTGCTGGGACAGTGACAGGGCTGGGACAGTGACAGTGCTGGGACAGTGACAGGGCTGGGACAGTGACAGTGCTGGACAGTGACAGTGCTGGGACAGTGACAGTGCTGGGACAGTGACAGGGCTGGGACAGTGACAGTGCTGGGACAGTGACAGGGCTGGGACAGTGACAGAGCTGGGACAGTGACAGGGCTGGGACAGGGCTGGACAATGCTGGACTTGACAGAGCACCTGAATTTTCGACACAAGCCATTGAAAGTTCTGGCAGAAGGCTCTGTTTGTTTTTGGCCATCTGCTGCCTTGGTGTGTTTGCACAGACATGGCAGAACTGGGGAAATTCTGCAGAAAGCATCTGTGTAGCTGAGCAGTGGCTGTGCTGTGACAGGAACAATCCATTGCACAGGGAGATGCTGGGCTGCAGCAGCCAGTCCTCTCTATTGTTTTCCCTGTAAATAGTTATTTTCCTGGTGGTTTTTTTACACATCTTTCAGATAAACAGATTTTTATGCAGCTGGATGATTTTCATGAGCWTATTGCTCTCAGTTCTGCGCTGTGGGGACAGCTTTGTGTCCTCAGATGGGAACCCAGGCTGGCACTGCCAGCACTGACTTCAACTGGTACTTGCCTATCAACACTCAATATATAAAATAATATTATCTCCCCTAAACCTGCTGATTATATATGATTTACTAAGTTCCTTATAGTATTTATTCATATTTTTATGTACCAATGCAGAATTAGAATATTTATGTCAAAGTAGAGTATGATTGTTGAGTTTTAACTGAAGAATGGCACTTCTTTTTTGRAGTCTTCTCTTTCTTTTTGTTCAGTAGTTCAGGATAGTTTTTTCTACCCTTGTTCTTGATGCTTTGTAGTTGATGTGCAGCTTTGGAGAGGAAGGGAAAAACATGTCTTTCACCTTCACATTCTCTACCTTTTTATTTCTTTAAACCCAGGGTCTTTGCACAGCAAGACAGTCTTTGCCACATTTCCTTTAAGTGATAAAGATTTCCTTCTTCCTTCACCTGTGACTCCAGTACAAACTTTCCTTTGTTGAACATTTTCAGTGTTAGTCTTTTCAAGATTTCCCACTTTTCTGTCGGGAATTCTTTTCATTTTATTGATGTTTCTGCCAGRCCTGACATCAAAAAGAGCAGAGCCTTTGAAGAGCAGAGTTCAGGCTTAACATATTTTTCTCATTGCTACTTTAAAATAGTCTTGTGCCTAAATTGCAAGCAGACTTTGGTAAGAAACAGGGCTTGGACACCTGARGTGTGGCAGGAAAGGTCTCTCTGAGTGTGTGCCCATGCCAGCACAAATCCAAAGAGAATGTGGACACGGGAACTCGTGATGGAATTCTCAGAGTTCTGGATTTGTCAGCTGGCACAGACAATTCTGGCATTTGTTTGTGCAGTAAAATCCTGAGCACTTTGGCTGTGAAGCAATGTACCAACCCAGACTGCTCCTAAAGGGAAAAGGGCTGCTCCTGGAGGAAAGAGAAAAGCGAGAGTTCCCACTGTGGGGATGGAAATCATGGACAAGGGGCAAAGGACACCAGTCCAGCCCTGAAAACCTCTTTTGCCAAATAAATGCAACACAGAGTCTCTGTTTCCTGYTGGGTTTGTACAACACCCTCCTGGACACAGCCAGAACACGCTTTCCTGACCAAACCTTGTTCCTTTTTTTCCAGGTCAATATTGGCATTCTCATTGCAGTCACAAGAGTGATCTCCAGAATCAGTGCAGACAACTACAAGGTCCATGGAGATGCCAATGCCTTCAAGTAAGTTCTGATTGAAATTCTATTAYAACAAGAATCTCACACTGGCAGTGTTGTATGTGGACTTCTCSCAGAACATTCCTCTTCAATTAAAAGCAAATACTGTTGAAGGTTTCACCCACTTGAATGCAGGCAGTTAACCTGTATTTTATTAGAGCTGAATGCTGCACAGGATGAAGCCTGGAGCTGAAGTGTTTCCCTGCTTATTAGAGTCTCCAGCACTTGCTGATTCATGATTTTCCCTTTTATTAATGGAGCCTTTCCTCTTTCTGCTCGAGTCAGAAGCGAAATTTCACAGACATCACAATCCACACTGGGTTATTGCAAGTACTCAGCTCCTTCTAAGGACAGACCTTGCTCCTTAGTCCCAGCTCAGCACAGTATTTAGGCATGTGCTTATCTTTAAGACTCTCTTGATACTGTGAAGCACACAGACTTATGCTGGATTTAAACTGTGYCTGAATTCAAGTGGGGTTTTATATCACAGTGCCCTGAGCCTCTTGGGAATGTGGGTCCAAGAGTGAATCATCTTTAAAATAGCACTGGCCAGGCTGGAGGGGAAATGTAAGGCAGACACAAAGCTACCTCTGAATGCACAAGGACAAATGCTGATTTCTGAAATATATAAGATTGCATGTGAGTAGCTAAGAAGATAATRTATTGAGGCTAAATTAAGATGCTGAATATTCCATTTCGTATCTCTTAAAGATTCTTTAGTCCAAATATAGAAATGACAGCRTATATAAATAAAGGAATATGGAATTTAGATAGAAGAAAAATGTGATGATGGCTTGCTTTTAATGTTTCTGAGGCACAGGCTATTGCATGATAAGGATTTGGTGCCACTGTTCTGAAATGGTATCATAAAGAAAAAKTTTTATGCTTGGATTACTTACGTAATTTTGAAAATACCATTAAGTTTTAAATATTGATGACAGTTACCTAATTGAAGTTAGTTTCGTTATTGTATACTTACCCAACAGGAAAGAAAAACTGTAAATAAGTCTACAGAAAAATCTATAAGATAATTACACTGTAGTGAAATGAGAAGACTGGGAATTAAAATGATTGTTTCAGGTTTGGCTGGGTTCCTGTGACCTTCAGAAATACAGAGGAAATAGAGAAACTTAGGAAGCAAATACCTGTGTATTGTCAATGGCAATTTTTCTGGACTGTTACGAGTGTGGAGACAAAGGAACAGCTCCATCAGTGCAAGAGGAGCTGCAGAGATGGCTCCATGTACTCGGGTATTTTACTGTGTCACAAGGAATTGGTTCAATGCACAGTGTGCCCTGCACATTAATACAAATTGCTTCTTTTTAAACTATGTGTGTGCACATAAGTAAATCAATTTATGAATAATGGGTCTGGGAATACGATGCAATCCATTTAATGAGCAGTATGTGTTCTTATCCAAACATTATCAGCTGTAGCTTTGGGATGGTGCAGCTCTGCACTGCAAATGTGACTCCTCCAGGTGCCCTGGCKCAGAGATGCTCTGTGTGCCAAGGARTTCTGACATTGCAGCATTTGACCTAACCAAAGTTACAGCGAGGAAAGTGGAGAAAAATGAGAATCAGAGGGATGATACATCTGAAAACATTAAATCATTAAGTTATTAAGTGGAAATATTCTCTGATAGAACACTTTTCCTCACAGAACTAAATAAGGTCAACAAAATACGATAGAAGGTAAACAGAACATAGAGAATAACTCTTCTGTAGATACCATTACAGAATTGGGACCTCAAAAGGAGTTTGAAATGAGAAGAGCATAAATACATGTTCAAATCAGATCCTGGGTAGTATTTATCCCCTGATTTAACAYAGCAGTGAGGCATGATGAATTGGCATTTTATGTACAGAGGATGCCATGGAGAAAGTAACTGATCTATTGGAAAAAAAGATAATTATAAGGGTTTGTAGCACTGGGTTTATATGTGCAGTGAGAAATCCTTCTGTACATTTTCCAAAATAGAAGAGAACAAAGCAGAGCAGGGTTCTGATGTGACAGGTGCATGGGAAGTGTTTTCCATGGTGTGAAATCCCCACGGCTCCAAGCATGAAAAGCTCCTGGTGCTGATTACAGGTTGTTAACCCGAGAGGGTGGATGAGCACAGCAAAGCCAATCACTCTCACAGCWCAGAGAAATCACAAAAACAGAAAGCGCTGTATTTTCTCTGAGGTTACTGTCAGCAAGGACTGCAAGGTTGTTTTTGTATCAACAAGTTCAAGTGGCTCAGGGAGGAATCCCTGAAGGCTGCAAAGCGCTTTGTGTAATGTGAGCCTGGACTGCAGGGCCCTGAGAGCTGTGTTTGTCAGAGCTGTGTTTGTCAGTGAGAGCTGTTCATCAGTGTGTTCTGTGTTCATCTGTGGTGCTGTGTTCATTGTCAGTGGGTGCTGTGTTCATCAGTGGTGCTGTGTTCATCATCAGTGTGTTCTGTGTTCATCATCAGTGTGTTCTGTGTTTGTCAGTGAGAGCTGTGTTTATCAGTGGGTTCTGTGTTTATCAGTGGTGCTGTGTTCAAGAGGGGTTATCAATCCCTTCTCACCAGCACACAGCCAGGTGAACCTGGCACGAGGCGATTTTGGGGTGGCAGGAAGGATTGTCACCATGTCACCATGGGAACAAAATCCCCTTTTTTGTCATGAAATTAGTTTATTAATCATCTTCCCCATTCACATCTCCCCTGGAACAAAGTGCAGTTATTGGCTTATTGACCTCTCCGGGTTCAGATGTCGCTTGTCACAGAGGAGACATCAGAATAATTTACTGAACATCTATTTCTGGTTTCAGAGCTACTGCTGTGGTCATTTGTTAGTTCAAAGTAAATAAAAATAGTGGCCCTAAATCAAATTTAGGAAGCAACATAAAGGAGTAAGTTTTTATGATACATGAACTGCAAAATAGCCAATAATTTAAGGCAGAATGAATATAATTAAAGAGTTCATGCTCAGAGACACTAATTAATGCATAATGGACTCCTGTGGCAGGCCGAACTGCAAGTGTTTGGTCACTGTTGTAATTCTTCTGTGTGTGMAAAGAGCTCCTTTTTTAGTATCTGAAACTTTAATTCTGCAAGAGCAGAAAGAGCTGAGCAAAGAATTATTATCATCTCCTATTTATTACTTGAATTTACTTAAGAACATCTTTTTGTATTGTTTTTTAATCATATCGAACACATCTAYAGAATCTGAACCTTTCCTTTGGTTGTGATTGATTGTACATGAACCTTTCATTGGAGGATTTGCTATTGACTCTCAGCAAAATAATTTTGAGCAATAATTCTGTTGTGGCTTAATGACAATGTTTTGCATCCAGGGAACAGATTTTCTGCCAGAAAGTTAATTTAAATGTTTTACTTTATGGAATGCTGACTCTAATACCTTGAAACATTTACATGCATACATACAGCATTTGTTTGARTTATCCATTCTTTTTTTAGGGTCATAACTAATCATATGTTTGAGTTTACGCATATGAGTGGACTCTCTAATCTTAATGCAATTAAAGCAGATTAGTTTAATGGAATTGCTCATGTGCTTGAAAAGGCACATGATTGCATCTCTGAGTTACGAACCATTTGAACTCTTTTTCTTACTTATTTCTGCTGTGTCTAGACTTAACTCTGCTCAGTGCATTCATTAACTTATAGGGCCTTTAACACTTTTTTTTTGTTGTTGCTTACTGCTGTACCTTTTCCAAGTCTCATTGCTTTTTGCATGGGAAGTTCCTTTGTGTTGCAGTGAGAAAATGTGGCAGTGTTAGAAACGGGCACATTTCACTCCCTGTGGGCAGAGCTCTTGYCTGATTGCACCGATCACAGGCAATAATTTCACTACCTGAGTTCCCTCAATTACAAGGGTAAAGTACAATGCAGTTCTCTAAGATCTGTTTTGCACTGACTGATGTTTAATTRTAGCAGAGGAGGAAATGCCCAGCATGTTGAGGAATAGTGGTTTTAGTTTAGAAGCACAGACCCCACGTTCAGCCATCCCCTGTGATTTCCCAGGCAGCTCATTCTGCATTGCATTGTCCACAAGAGACAGTTTCATTAACTTTTCCTGAACAAACTGCCAAGTCCAACCCTTACTGAATACATTCTTACTGCTTACTCTGAAATGGTCCAATGAGTTGGAAAAATTTCTGTCTTTTTTATAAACTGTACACTTCAGCAGTCAGTGAACCAGAAGTGATAGCTATCATAATCATCCATGGAGAAAGCAATTACAGCAAAATTAGAAATATTTCTTAGCCTTTTACCCTGTTCTTTTATTATTTTCTTCGTCCCTCAAAGCTCAGTCTTCACTCAGTGAAATACTGAAACAGTTCTCCATTGGAAAAATATGTTTGCTGTTTAGTTAATGAGTGAAAATTGGAACAAATGGCACTAGCTGCAGTGAATGGAAGCAAAACAGRGCTTCAAGAAAACCTCAGCACAGTGAGCAAGTCATGTAAGCTGCTGTGTTAGTTCCTTCTGAATTATATAAACCCCTTCACATGAAACTGAAATGAGAGTCTGTGGGTTTAATGCAAATCTATTCCTTAGTTTGGTTATTTAGGAAAAAAGCAAAGCTGTCCAGAAAGCATTTCCTTTGACAGGTGCAAATCCAAGAGCGGTGTCCTGCCGCAGCTCCCGGTGCATCTGCAGGGTTTGGTCGGTAATTGGCCGTTCCAAAGCGTTTTGCAAAGCCATCCATTACACCCTGCAGCACCGTGTGCTGTGGCAAATTGCTCATCCATTTAATCACTGATCCATTCCTCACTGCCTCGCTGTTTTCTGTGTTTATAAACACTGCTCCAGCCTTCCAGCACCGTCACCTCCTGCCCGTCCAAATCCTGGGAGTCAGCGCTCACAGCTCTGCTGCTGTGACATCAGCCAGCATTCTGCAAACACTSACTGTTTGTTGGTTTTGCTCTCGTGATTCCCTTCCTGTTTTGTGTCCTTTGGTGTCCAAAGACTCCTCATGCTGAGGATTATTCCCAGCTGTTCATTTTCACAG